TGACTTATGTGTACCCAGTATCCATTTTCTCTGTCATGTCCTGAAAGCTGACTACCCTGTAGTGGAGAACCTGTTCCTCTTTCTAGGCAAGCGCACTCTGCCACTTGAGGCATGCCTCTTTTTCTAAATTCAGGAGCTTTTCAGGACACAGAACTGCCATTCTGGGCTGTATTACCAAATCAACCAGTTTCCCTATATCATCTTGGCAGCGAAGGAAAGGAATATATGATTCCTAAGACTGTTTTTCTGACTGAAGGTGGTACATCCTCTCTCTAGCAATTTGGCCAAGGATCTAGTATCATTAGATTTCTTAAATTTTAATTTTTTAAATTTTTTTTTCTTTTTTCTTTTTTTATTATATTCATATGTGCATACAATGTTTGGGTCATTTCTCCCCCCTTCCCCCCAACCCCTCCCATACCCCTCTCATCCCCTTGCTACCAGGCAGAAACTATTTTGCCCTTATCTCTAGTTTTGTTGAAGAGAGAGTATAAGCAATAATAGGAAGGACCAAGAATTTTCACTAGATTTTTTTGCACTTAGGCAAGTCAGGCTGCTGTTGACAATGGCTTTCTCTTTTTTCATTTTTGTTGTTGTTGAAGTATAATAAATATACAGAAAAATATTTGTGACTTTTTTTTTGGTGGTACTGGTTTTTGATCTTAGGACCTTATGCTTGCTAGGCAAATGCTCTACCACTTGAGCCATGCTCCCAACCCACACATTGTTATTTTTTACTTTTGCTACTATTTTAAGAACCCATTGAATGAATACACTACTACTCTTTATGTATGCCTCATTGAGTTTTCAAAAAGTGAGGACATCTGAGAACCATCCCAGTCAAAAATGGAGTATTACCTCACTAGTACTCTTTGTATCCTTTGTACTCTATTCATCCACCCAAGGTTGGCCTCTGTTCAGATTTATAATAACCCCAATGAGATTGTCCTATTTTTAATGCTTTATATAAATGAAATTATATAGTGTATGCTCATGTGTCCTGCTTCTCTTGTTCACCCTGAAGGTTTGAGGTTATCTACACCACTACTTAGAGGAAACGGATTATTCATTATCTTTACTGTATAATATTCTACTGTGGTCCTTTGGCTCTTTTTTTTTTTTTTTAAGATTGCTATGCTGAGAATCAAGCCCAGGGTCTCACAAATGCTAGGCTCACACTAAACTACAAAACCAGCCCTATGCTGGTCACTGGTGGCTTACACCTATGGTACTAGCTATTTCGGAGGCTGAGATTAAGAGGTTGGTAATTTGAGGCCAGTCTGGGCAAATAGTTCACAACCCCCCCCCAGTCTCCAAAAATAACCAGAACAAAATGGATAGGTGTGGTTGAAGTGGTAGAGCACTTGCATTGTAACCATGAAGCCCTGAGTTCAAATCCCAATACTACCAAAACAAAAACAAAAAACCTAGCCCTATTTGGCTCATTTTATTTTTATGTTTTATTTTTTGGTGGTACTGGGATTTGCACTCCGGGTCTTATGCTTGCTAGGCAGGCACTTTACCATTTGAGCCACTCCACCAGCCCAAGGCTCATTTTATTTTATTTTTTCATTTTTCTTTTATTATTCATATGTGCATACAAGGCTTGGTTCATTTCTCCCCCCTGCCCCCACCCCCTCCCTTACCATCCACTCCTCCCCCTCCCCCTCCCCCACTCAATACCCAGCAGAAACTATTTTGCCCTTATTTCTAATTTTGTTGTAGAGAGAGTATAAGCAATAATAGGAAGGAACAAGGGGTTTTGCTGGTTGAGATAAGGATAGCTATACAGGGCATTGACTCACATTGATTTCCTGTGCATGGGTGTTACCTTCTAGGTTAATTCTTCTTTAACTTACCTTTTCTCTAGTACCTGTTCCCCTTTTCCTATTGGCCTCAGTTGCTTTAAGGTATCTGCTTTAGTTTCTCTGCGTTAAGAGCAACAAATGCTAGCTAGTTTTTTAGGTGTCTTACCTATCCTCACCCCTTCCTTGTGTGCTCTGGCTTTTATCATGTGCTCATAGTCCAATCCCCTTGTTGTGTTTGCCCTTGATCTAATGTCCACATATGAGGGAGAACATACGATTTTTGGTCTTTTGGGCCAGGCTAACCTCACTCAGAATGATGTTCTCCAATTCCATCCATTTACCAGCGAATGATCACATTTCGTTCTTCTTCATGGCTGCATAAAATTCCATTGTGTATAGATACCACATTTTCTTAATCCATTCGTCAGTGGTGGGGCATCTTGGCTGTTTCCATAACTTGGCTATTGTGAATAGTGCCAAGGCTCATTTTAATCTAGCCATGTCTTAGTGTGTTTTATCTCTGTGTTTTAAAAGTGACCTAAAGAGTAAAAATTCTAAAGCGAAGATATTCAGAAACATTAAAGTTAAGCCAGAAGCTGGTCAACTTGAAAGAATTTTAAGTTCTAAGTAGAGAGTTTCATAAGCTTTGAATTTTTAAAATTGGGACATTGATCAGATTAGGAATGGGCAAATCAGATCACATTTAGACTAAACCTAATTTTGATCTAGCAGTGTCACATATTTTATATTCACACAGACTTTTGAAATAAAATTAATTTCTCCAAATTTTGGTGTCACAATATGTCAGTCTTAGTTTACTTTTTGTAGGAATCTGAGCTTGGCACTGTAAAGGACTAAGGAAGCTCTAAAGATAAGTCCCTTTGTAACTGAGGTTTTAAAAAATACGGTAAACCATTCCTCCAGCAAAAACTTTCCTGCCTTTTTTTACTCCCCTGAGGAATTGGCATTCTGGGTATTTTTAAGAGTACCTGAATCCCTCAGGCAAAATGAGCTAATATCTCAGGTCTTTGAGTGGAGCAGATCTGGAATTGAACTGGATCTTTAGTAAGAAAGGGAAGGACTAATTAAGAGCATGGAGCTAGCCAGGCACCAGTGGCTCATGCCTGTAATCCTACTTAGGAGGCAGAGATCAGGAGGATCGAGGTTTGAAGCCAGCCCTAGGCAGATAGTTCAAGAGACCCTATCTCGAAAAAACCCATCACAAAAAAGGACTAGTAGAGTTGTTCAAAGTGCAGCCCCTGAGTTCAAACCCTAGTACTGCAAAAAAAAAAAAAAAAAAAGAATATCCCTCTTTCACTAAGTTGGATATCTACAGAAAGCCCCCAGATGGCATTCTTAGATCCAGCCAGTAGCTCAGAAGTGTTACATAAAACTGAGTGGAGATTTATGTCCTAGAATGCCTGAATCAAAAGATCAAGTGAAGACAGATCTTCACTAAAGGGCTCACTTGCCTTTTTCTACTCAGAATGCAATCATACGCATTCACAACTTCTAGAAGTTGTCTACCACCCACGCTCCCAGAGTTTTGTTTTTGTTTTTGCAGTATTAGGGTTTGAACTCAGGGCCTACACCTTGAGCCATTCCACCAGCCCTTTTTTGCATTGGGATTTTTCAAAATAGAATCTCTCGAATTATTTGCCTTGGCTGGCTTTGAACATCAATCTTCCTGATCTCTGTCTCCTGAGTAGCTAGAATTACAGGTGTGAGCCACCAGCACCCGGCTGAAGAGGGATATTCTAATGCCAGTTCATCAGCCATTGTAGAAACAAAAAATAAATAATCCACATAAAATACATGTTCTACTAGTTTTTTCTCTGTAGAAGAATGACAATCCCATTTAGTCATGCAAGCAGAACAAATAATAAAGTTACAGGGCTGGTGGAGTGGCTCAAGTGATACAGCACCTGCCTTGCAAGCTCAAGGCCCTGAGTTCAAACCCCAGTACTACCAAAAAAATTTATAGTAAGAACAGTAAAGTTATTCTACCAGGATCTTAGGGTATCTCCAGTCACGATACCATTTTGGAAAAATAATCATAATGGGAATTTCATCTCCCAGTCCCTAATTTGCAAGCTTTTTATTAAAAAAGTAGTATTTAGAGAGTTTCACTGTTTGTTTTTGACATATATTATTTTATCCTAATTGAATTAATTAAATTGTATAGGAGTGCTTATAGTGGTACTTGAGACTTATAAAAATAGTGTGATAGCCTAACTTTATCCATCTAGATCAAATCCATGAGTGTATACATCAGAAATTTAATATTTCAGCTAAAAATAGTAGATTTCTTCTTTCCATGTAACTTGGCAAATTCCGAAAAGGTCCCTCAGTGACTCTGTTCAATTCATTATGGAACACATAGGGAATTGAAAATTAAACTAAGTGTGACTGGAGTGTAGAGATACTTATCTCAGAGGGATTTAGGGGTTTTTTAATTCTTGGGTTTTTTTGGTTTGTTTTGTTTTGGTGGGACTGGGGTTTGAACTCAGGGCTTTGTACTTGCAAAGCAGGCACTCTACTGCTTGAGTCACACCTCCAGTCCATTTTGCTCTGGTTATTTTTGTAGATGCAGAGGGGTGTCTCACAAAGTATTTGCCCAAGCTGGCCTTGAACCTTGATCCCCCTGATTTCAGCCTCCCAAGTAGCTAGGATTATAGATGTGAGTCACTGGTGCCAAGCTCTCATAGGGATTTTAAGAAGCCACCCCCACCTGCCTTTTTTTTTTGAGATAGGATCTTGCTTTGCAATCCAAGCTGGCCTTGACCTTGAACTTTTGTCCTCCCTCAGTGCTGGGATTATAGGGTGTACCACCATGCTCAGTGCAAGCATAATTTTTATAAAACATTTTTAGTTCCTTATGGAAAATGCTAGTTTAAAATTTTACTAATTTGTATTATACAAACTAGTATATCTCCTTATCCACCTTTGGTTCAAACATTTGACTAATTATTGTATATATTGGTTTGAACTTTAAGTTCACCTTTTAGCAGTGTAAGTCATAATTAACAAATCTTTAAAGTCCACAAAATTTGGTGCTGGGGATGGTGGCACACACCTGTAATCCTTAGTTCGGCAGGCAGAGGTGGGAGGATCCTGAGTTCTAGGCTAGCCTGGGTTGCATAGTGTGCCCCTGTCTCAAACAAAACAAAGAAAAACAAATAGTTGACAAATTTTGCTTTTTCTAAGAACTGCTTTTTCTTTCCTTTTAGGTAACAAATACACTCTGGAGACTCGTCCCAACCAAGAAGGCATTGATGTAAGACAGGAGCTACTGAAATTCCATTCTACTTATTATTCATCCAATTTAATGGCTATTTGTGTTCTAGGTCGAGGTAAGAAGTCTAAATTTTTCATACAATTGACTGATAGAAGTTTTTATTCCCATTTTTGACTTTTTGCAAAGTATTAGAAGAAGGATATAAGATACAGCTATTTATCTGCTCTAAGTGCTTTGCACATGACCTACTTGAAGAGTATGTAGGTGAGAATTTCATTTTTAACTTACTGTGTTCCATAAAAAGCTTAGATGTTTTTAAATGGAAGCTGTCCTAAGCATTTAAATGATGGAAAGAAAGCCGCAGTAAGGTTGACAAATTTGACATAACACTGCAGAAAACTACAAACAAAAAGCAGATGATAATAAACTGGAGAAACTATTTGTAAACAACAGAGGTGATTCATGCCCATAATCCTAGCTACTCAGAAGGCAGAGATCAGAATTTCAGTTTGAAGCCAGCCCAGCCAAATAGTTCTCAAGACCCTATCTCGAAAAAGCTCATTACAAAAAAGGGCTGGCAGAGTGGCACAAGGTGCAGGCCATGAGTTCAGGGCCCAGTACTGCCACAAAAAAAAAAAAAAAAAAAAAGTAAACTAACTCATGAAAATATATTATTTTTCCATAGTATTCGAGTTTGATCTCAGGGTCACGTACTTGCTAGACAAGCACTTTGCCACTGGAGCCATGCCTCCAGCCCTTTTTGCTTTATTTTTCAGATAAGGTCTCTCACTGACTTCAGACCACAATCCTCCTACCTGTGCTTCCCACATGTCTTGAATTATAGATATACACCACCGTGCCTGGCTTGTTAGTTGAGATGGAGTCTCACTAAACTTTTGCCCAGGCTAGCCTTGAACCGTGATCCTTCCAATCTCCACCTCCTAAGTAGCTGAAATTAAAGACGTAAGCCACAGTGCCCAAAAAATCGCCCTTTAATAAAAGTATATGAAAGCCAGGATCTTGGCACTCAAGAGGCTGAGTTAAGAGGCTTTTAAGCTCAAGGTCAGTCTGGGCTACATAGTAAGACCCTCTCAAAAAAACCAACAAAACATGTTTACTTCAGAGTGTAAGGAAACAATTGAGTTCAAACAGATGATATAAAAGAATGCTTCTATCAGTATAGTATGTATTGGTGAGGCTAAAAATAATCTAAATGTTTTATGAGGAGAAGATTGGTTCAATATTGATTTTATAACTGTAAAATAGAGCATCTCACGGAAAAATAACATCCTGTCTCTTGCTTTCTCTCCTCCTAGCTGCCTCCTAGCTATCCTTCTAGCCTTATTTTTCATTATAACATTTACTATACCTGAGATATTTGTTTTTGTTTTCCACCATATCAAAATATAAATTACTTGAGAACAGAGATTGATTTTTGTTCCCTGCTTTACCTCTAGAATCTAAGTTGGTACTTGGCACACCATAAGTACTTGGTAAATACATACAGTTTTATTTCAGTATTTGAATAACATGATAAAATACTCAACATTTTTAATAGAAAACAAGTGTACTCTACAAAAACACTCAGCACCCCATTTGGGGGCTTATTGCAGATTCTAGCAGTCATACACAGTGTAGGTATAAGACAAAATGGAACTACTGGGCACAGTGGCTCACACCTGTAATCCTAGCTACTTGGGAGGCTGAGATCAACAGAATTGCAGTTTGAGCCCAGCCTGGGCAAATAGTTCGTGAGACCCTATTTCCAAAGTAACCAGAGCAAAATGGACTAGAGGTGTGGCACCTGCTTTGCAATTGAAGCCTTGACTTCAGACCCCAGTCTCATAAAAAAAAAAAACAAAAACATGCTAGAAGTTTAATGATGAGGTGTAGCAGTTAAGAACTCAAACAGCCCAAAAGCCTGGCTTTGAATTCCAAATGTACTACCTACCTCAATTAGCCCTGTGGCTATGAACTAACAGTGTTACTTCTGTTCTCTCAATGGCTGATTTTTCACATTTGTAAAATGGAGGTGGCACCTCATGCCTGTAGAGGAACATCCTTTATAATACTATGTGCTAGCTAAAAGTAGATAGACCCAGAATGTTACCTATCACTTAATATTTAAAACCCAGTCAGGCCATGCACCAGTGGCTCACACCTGTAATCCTAGCTAATCAGGAGGCAGAGATCAAGAGGATTGTGGTTCAAAGCCAGCCCAGAGTGGCTTCTAGGCCCAGGATGGCCTAGAACTTGAAATCCTCCTGCCTCAGACTCCTGACTGCTGGGATTACAGATGTGTGCCACTATCCCTGGTTTCTTGACGTCTCTTGTTTCAGACATATTCCCTCCATTCCTGAGTTTATGTGTCATAAAACAATCAATCTCTGATCTTGCCTTATATTTGACTTTGTGGGACATTTTAGAGCATATTATACATGTCAAAAAATGAAGTAGAAATAGATACATTTTGTTAATAAAGTACAAATACGCACATTCATAAGTCAGATACAGAAGGTAGTTCTCAAATGGTAATAAAATGCTCTCTAGAGAATTCATGGAAAAACAGTAGCAAGTAATGACTGTATATAAATAGCCTGTTGTTGAAGAGAGAGTCAGGTGAATGTCTAGTTTATAAGAAGTTTAGGTATTTTTGCTCTGCTTTTAGTAATACTTGGGGTGGTTGGGGTTATAATTCAGTGGTAGAGTGCCTGCTTAGCATGTGCACAGTCCTGAGTTCACCAGTACTACTAATTATTATTAACATGTGCACGTGGGAAAAATTTATCCCACACAGAAAGGTATAAAGTGAAAAGAAGGTTATTTATCTCATCCTATGACCACTGTGTCTTTTGTACCACTCTGTCTTTTGGTACTACAGGGGGTTGAACTCAGGGCTTCTTGAGCCACTCTGCCAGCCCACAACAGCCCACTTGTTGTTGTATTTCCAAAAGTAGAATTTTAGAAATGGCTTTAGACTAAGTATAAGTTGAATGTTATAATCTCTCTGCTAATATTTTGGTAAAATACACTTATTGAGAATTATTGTCATTTTTTCCAAATGCAACTAAATGTTCTGTTATTGTTTCTTATGTTTGTTTAAAATTTCTTACAAGCTAATATTCTTGAAACTATGTCAATATTGTGAATAAGGCTCGATAATTTAAAATTTTTACACTGTCAAGAAGTGGCTATGTTGAGATAGTCATTATCATTATTGCTTAGTAGCTTTAGAAATTGTCTAGACACTGTAGGATTTAAATGAGTGTTTCATCTTTATCGGGTGCAGGCTTTCCTTTAAAACCCTGAGACATTTGAGGCAATCCTAAAGACTGAAGTATTACCTACTTTGTGTTATAGTTAGGTATGTACTGTTTTCAGTACCTCTTTTCTGTTTTCTTGTAGAATCCTTAGATGACTTGACTAACCTGATAGTAAAGTTATTTTCTGAAGTAGAGAATAAAAATGTCCCATTGCCAGAATTTCCTGAACACCCTTTCCAAGAAGAACATCTTAAAGTAAGTGCATATATTTATGGTATTTTTTTCTTTTGTTTGTGGACATATTTGTTAGGATAATCAAATCAAGTGAATTCCAGGTGTATTAGGAACATTTATCACACACACACAAAAACCCCAATATGTTCTGATCTTTGACTGCGAGAAATATTTGGTAGCTGTAGCCTTGGCAGACTATTGAAGCTGTTGTTAGTGCCAGGAGCAAGCATCCAAAATTAGCTTCAGTATCCAGGGGCCCAAACATGGATCACTTACTCGCCATAATAAGATTCCACTACAAGAAAACCTGATTCATTTATTTCTTTGTGATCGGTTCTCTGTGGTCTAGCAACTAATTCACTATAATCAGTATTCTTTGTATTTTATGAATATTTTATTCAATAAGAGTTGTATGTAGTAAATCTTTATAATTTGTCTTTCCCCAGAAACTTTATAAAGTAGTGCCCATTAAGGATATTAGGAATCTTTATGTGACATTTCCCATACCCGACCTTCAGAAATACTACAAATCAAATCCTGGTCATTATCTCGGTCATCTGATTGGCCATGAAGGTCCTGGAAGTCTGTTATCAGAACTTAAATCTAAGGGTAAGTGTCTTGGACAGGGCCTTCTGAGTGTGATAACCCACTCTGGCTTTCAGTTTCTGCTATTTTCCTGTGAAGGAACATTTTTAGATGGTATTGTTTAGGGTTTATGAGTAAAGTGGTGATGATTAATGTGCTTTTGGTTTTTGTTTTGAGGTTTGTTTGTTTTGTTTTGTTTTGTTTTAATTTCACAATTAGTTTTACCCTTCAGTATTGAGCTGTGAAGTTCAGGCATTTCAAAAGATGCCATCACACACGTCAGGATGGAAACCAAGTCTTGTGCATGGTAGCCAGGCAAGCACTTTACCATTGAGCAATTCTTCTTGCTACTTTAAATGAGAAAGATGTTAAAAAGTAAAAGCCCACCATGGATATTCTTTACCATCTCTATGAAATGTCAGTACATACTTTTTTTTTTTTTTTTTTGTAGTACTAGGGCTTGAACTCAGGGCCTTCACCTTGAGCCAGTCTGCCAGCACTTCTTGTGATGGGTATTTTCAACATATGGTCTCACGAACTATTTGACTGGGCTGGCTTCAAACTGCGATCCTCCTGATCTCTGCCTCCTGAGTAGCTGGGATTACAGGCATGAGCCACCAGCACCTGACTAAGTGTCTATTATTTATCTGCCTGCTCTGATCCATCAAATAGGAAAGGTGTGAGTTCTAGACAGTAGATAATTTCCAAAGCCTCTAGCTCTTAGTCTTTACTTTTAGGTAACATTTAAGCACAGTACTCTATCCTTCTTGAGAAATGATTTGAGGAGTTTTTAGGAAAGCTTCAACCCCATAAAATCATTTAGTCTGAAACTGCTTTCCTGAACTGAGGAGTTTTTGGTTGTTTTTTTTTTTCCCCACAAGAGGACCATTTTAGTCTTTTAGGACATATAGTATGAATTTTTAAAAATCTCTTGTTGCTGGGCACCAGTGGTTCACACCCATAATCTTGCTACTAGGGAGGCTAATATCGTGTGGATCTTGGTTCAAGGCCAGACTGGGCAAGTAGTTTACAAAAGAAGCCACACATATAATCATGTTGATCTTCTGCAAATGTTACAGGCTGGGTAAATACCCTGGTTGGTGGACAGAAGGAAGGAGCCCGAGGTTTTATGTTTTTTATCATTAATGTGGATTTAACTGAGGAAGGATTGTGTAAGTATTGATTGAACTTTTTGCTTTTGAATAAAAATTGACTTCATGTGATTTTTTTAATTTCTTTATGCTGTGGGTCTGTTTTGTGTTGAAAAGCTATGAACACCTTAATTCATATACCTTATGCATTGTATTTTTCATGTGTAACTTGGCCTTTGTTTTGTGGATGATTTCCCCCTTAATAACTGATCATTATGTTGCACTTGTAAAATGTGTACTTGGCTTTTCATTTGCTCATTTACTGCCCAGTACTCCTCTGTCACATATCCCTGAGCCCAGAGGATCGTGTGTGGGACATCTAAAACCAGACTCAGGGAGATGAGGACTCCATTTTCTAAGAGGGACCGTCTTCCACTTACCTGACTTTGCCTTAGGAGTGAGTTCACTGCTTCGAAGGATTCAAGGACTGAATGGTTTTTAAGTGTGCCCCTTTTTTCCAGTACATGTTGAAGATATAATTTTGCACATGTTTCAATACATTCAGAAGTTACGTGCAGAAGGACCTCAAGAATGGGTTTTCCAAGAGTGCAAGGTACTTTTGTTTCACCAAAATTTTTCTTAAGGAATCTATTTTTCAAAATCAAATATATGTGAATTAATTTAATTAAGGCCCAGGTAAACTTTTAAAGGGTTGGTTTTTTTGTTTTTTTTTTTCCTAAAGTCTAAAATTTTGCAATGCATACTAGTATTAGTCAAGGCTTAGTTGTACTAGTCTGCTTGCCACTTGGGGCACAATTAAAGGTTCAAAGTATCATGTAGCCTTTTTTTAGGAGGGAAAAGGAAGAAAGTGGATTGCTTTTCTATCTCTTAGAAGAAAACCAACAGTTTGTTAAGCTGACATTTTTTTAGAGCTTATCTTACTCCCTGCCTGAAGTTGCATGAAGTCTGTCATTTACAGATCTGGTAATAAAAATCTATAGTGAACTCTCAAAGAAACAGTGAATTGTTTTGTGTATTATTGTGGTCTTTTTTTTTTTTTTTTTTTTTTTTTTTTTTGGTTTTTTGAGACTTCCTATGTAGCTGGCCTTAAACTTGCAATCCTCCTACTTCAGCCTCCCAAGTGCTGGGATGACAGGTGTTGCCACCATGCCCAGCTATAATTGTATTCTTAAAAGTGATTTTATTATTATATGTATGTATGGAAAAACATATGAAACATAAAGTATTTGTATTTCAAATTTTTAAAGACTTCTTTTCAAAGGGTTTAAAGAAATACATAAGTATTTAAGACCTGACAAGATTCTGAAATGTATTTTAGGTTGAGAAATAACTTCTTTAACTAGGCAAAAATTTAAAGGTATAATCTCTGCCTGTGGAAATTATGACAGTAACTTCTGGCTGCAGTTCTTGAACAGGTCACCAAAATCATCATCTCTGGAATTGTTGGATCTCACAAGGTTCTTTTACACAATTTTTCTTAATTCTTTGACTAATTATTTTGATAATTTAGGCTATAGAATCATATTCTGTATTTTTTATATATTTTCATTAAAAATTATTTACCTATTTTGCTTTGATTTTAAGCCTTGGTTGATGAGTTGAGTTTTACACACTTTAGAAAATTTTCTTTCCATGAACTGTATGTTCCCCTAAATCAGGCATAGCCATTTTTTTCAGAAGGTGTGGTGAAGTTAAATTTGGAGTAGAAAGTTTATAGCTCAAATGAAACATTAAAAACATGTAGTAAGTAATAGTTGACTTATGTCTAATTGGGTTAACTTTCTATTTTAGGACTTGAATGCTGTTGCTTTTAGGTTTAAAGATAAAGAGAGGCCACGAGGCTACACATCTAAGATTGCAGGAATATTGCATGTAAGTTGCTCTGTTACTGTTTATACTGCATTGGTATGTAGAATATTTCAGATCCAGCAGATGTTACTATAAACACCTCTTAAATGATAAAAATTGACAGTGCATAATATAAAACTTTATAGCAACTGGGCAAACTTTGATGACATGTTCGCATTACACAGGCATTTTTATTACTGGCTTTAAACATTTTTCACTTATACCATGTGTCAAGTGTTACTTCTAAAAGCTTTTGGTCACCTGTTTCTCCATTTCCTGTTACTGGTCTAGTCTGAGTTGCTGTCGTATCTTACTTGACTACACCAAAATGCCTTACCTAGATCCCTGTTTCCCGCCTTGCTACTCAGTATAGTTTATTTTGTTTCAGCCTCAGTGACTGTTTGAAAAAGCAGATTGTTTTACTCCTGGGTTTAAAGTCCTTTGATGGTTTGCCATCAGAGTTGGCACAAAACCCAAAATGTTTCCTTGGTCTGCATGGCCCAGACTCTGAGATGTGTGACCATATTCCATAGCACTGCCCGGGCCATCTCTCCCATCCCCATTCCTCTCCAGCTGTGCTGGCTCTTGCATTATCAAGCATTAAGTGTACTCTTTCCTTTTAGGGCCTTTATATTTGCTGTTTTCTGTATGTAGAACATTCTTCCATTTGATTTTTCCATGGCTACGTTTTCCTTACCACTTGGATCATCACTCGTATGTCTTCATAGAAAGACCTTCCCCAGCCTCCTAGTCTAAAATAATGTTCTTCCCTCTGCTCCTTTCTTATTTTCTTCATAGTATCTATTGCTAGGTAAAATTATAGCATTTGTTTGTTTATTGTCTGCCTCCTTTCAAATTAGAATATATGCTGCTTGGAGGACAGGGGTTTCTGTGTTATATGCCATTGTATCCACAGCACGTAGAACAGTTCATTACATTTTTATTGAGTGAATCAGTCAGTCTCAGTATTTTAGAAGTTGCTTTTACTAAAACGTATCTTCTGCATCATTTTCCAACATTAGCCAAAAATGTAATCCATTTCTTCCCACAACTTTGTGGTTTCATTCATAGAAATTCTTCTTTAAAAATGTATGGGGCTGGAGGTGGGACTCCAGTGGTAGAGCTCCTTGCCTAGTAAGTGAAGCCCTGAGTTCAAATCCTAGTATTGCCAAAAAAAAAAGTAAAAACAACAACATAAAAAGAATGAAAAAACCTAAATATTTGGGCTATAGGCATGGCTCAGGTGGTAGAGTGCCTGCCTAGCAAGTGTGAAGCCCAAGTTCAAACCCCAGTATTGCCCCATCCCCTAAATATATGATTCTAGGCATGGTGCTACACATCTGTAATCCCAGCACTTGGGAGGCTGAGGCAGGACAATTGCAAGTTTGATGCCAGCCTTGGCCACATAGTGAGTTCAAGGTTAGCCCGGGCTATATAGTGAGAGCCTGACTCAAAAAACCAGGGCTGGGGGTATGGCACAAGTTGTAGAGTGCTTGTGGCCCTGCGTTCAAACTCCAAAGAACATGAAAAAAAAAAAAAGTTTGTTCTTTATACTAAAAATCCTGTAGGTGTCAGCATTTCATTGTAGATTTTCTTCATTAACAAGTGCTCAGTTTTTAGCCAGAAATATTTTTTTCCTCGAAAGAAATCTGATTTTGCTCTCTATAATGTAAGTCCTTTGGAGATTAACAGTGTACTTGACAGAATCATCACACGGTATGGAGCTACTTAAAGATGTGATAGGTAGGGATGGGGATGGGGATCAGTGGAAGAACATTTACCTAATGTGCATGAAGCCTTAAGTTCGAACCCAAGTACCGCCAAAAAATAAAAATAAAAAAGATGTGGTAGGAGAGGAAAGAATATTCGGGGCTTTGGAAGGTTTTCCAATGGGAGGAGGGAGTTTTCCAATGGAATAAAATGTAATTAAAGGGAAGAGATACATAAAATAATAGATGTAATATAGTAGTGATCTGTTTGCTTTAATAAATTAAGCCTTGTAGTAGCCTTGCAACTCTTATTTATTTGTATTTTCCTTTTTCAAAGTATTATCCCCTAAAAGAAGTACTCGCAGCTGAGTATTTACTGGAAGAATTTAGACGTGACTTAATCGAGATGGTTCTCGATAAACTCAGACCAGAAAATGTCCGGTGAGTCACCTACAGATTTTACTGTTATGTTCTAAATTTTCAGTCATGATTAGAATCTGAAAATTTGAAGTTGTGACTAAATGCTTTCAAATTATTTTTATCAAATATGATTGTAAGAGTAGAAGATAGTATAATGAACTAACACCAAGCTTCAACAGTCAATACATGATCAGTCTTTTTTTTTTTTGTGATCAGTCTTTTTATCTAGACCTACCACTCTTTATTCATCCTACCTGTAGCTAAAGTCGAGTGAGAGAGATGACATAAAAGAAAAGCAGCCAAATTCAAATTCAGGGACTGAGAGCATGGCTCAAATAATGATAATGTCAAGCAAGTGTGAGGCTCTGAGTTCCAACCCCAGTTCTTAAAAAAAAAAGTAGCTCTATCATTTATTCAAATTCAGCCTCTCTTGTACTCCCACTCAACAACATGTTTTGTGCACCAGGTGAGTGGGAGTTTTTCCCTCACTCACCAAGCAAGGAACACTGGAGCAATGTACACTAGCTGGGACTCCTCTAATTCAGTGCAACTCTGACACTGTCTGCCTGGAGCTAGGATTTAATTAAGTATTTCATTTAATGATAGTGTTTGCATGCATACAGATAATTATCAAACTTTTAGAACTTCTTAGTTGTAATAAGATGCCTTGGTTTTATAGTTTAAAAGGTAAGGGTCAAAATTTAGAAATATTTCCCAATGAAAATAATTTATGAAATTGTATGAAAATTAAACCTCTGGTTTCATGTATCTTAATAGGTTATAATATGTCTCCCTTTAAAGTCTTATTGCCAATATTTTAAGCCCGTATTTGTTGCCTAATTCCTAATTACTCAAGAATTGATCATGAGATGGAAAAAATCCTATTCAGAAACTAGGAGTTACCAAAAGCTAAAGACTGGTGAGCTAGTCATTCTACTTTAACAGCAGTGCTCTTTTTCAGCTCTAGATAATTTATTTAAATATGAAGGAAAAGAAAAATCAGTAATTCTTTCTTTTTCTGGTCAGTGAACTACCAAGAAAGTTGAAAATTAAATACTTATATAACCCAACTTGGTTACATCTGAAGTAACATAAATGGGGATGGGAGATATAGTCTATATAATTTAATGGTTTTAAATGATACAGCACAGAAGAAAAAAAATGAAAAATAAAAAGTGATATAAGCACAATCATAGGTTATGAAATCAATATACCAAAATGAAGTACATTTCTGAATATACCAACAGAAAATGGGAAAATTAAAAGCAACATACATATGTGTGTGTGTATGGTTTTTTTTTTTTTTTTTTTTTTTTGGCTGCACTGGGGCTTGAACTTAGAGCATCGCACTTGCTAGGCAGGCACAGGCTCTCTTACCACTTGAGCCACTCTGCCAGCCCTATTTTCTGTTGGGTATTTTCAAGATAGGGTCTTGTGAATTATTTGCCTAGTCTGGCTTCAAACTGGGATCCTCCTCATATCTGCCTCCTGAATAGCTAGGACTATAGATGTGAGCCACAGTGGCTGGCTGAAATAAATGTTTATGATAGCAACAAAAGCATAAAAATAATTAGGAGTGAATTAATCAAAGCTAAGCAAGACCTCTGAACAAAAGCTAAAAAATTACTGGGCATGATGGCATATGTCTGTAGTCCCAACATTCAGAAGGCAGAGGCAGGACATTTATGAGTCCCAGGCCAGCCTGGGGTCATAGTGAGACCTTGTCTCAAAACAACAACAAAAACAAAAAGCCCTACAAAACAGTGCCAAAGAAATTAAAGACCTAACTAAATGGAGAACATACTTTCATAGATTAGGAAACTTGATGCTAAAATGTCAGTTCTCTCCAATCTGATTCATAGACTGTAATCACAACAGAATCCTGATAAACTTTTTTTTTTAAGAAATGGTTAAGCTGATCCCAAAATTTATATGGGTATAAAAGGTTTTAGATTAGCTAAAACCCTGAAAAAAAAAAAGTTGGAAGACATAAACTACTCGATTTGAGGACTTAATATAAAGCTACGCTAATTAAGACAATACAGTATCAGCAGGAGGATGGACAAACAAGTTATGTCATTGGAACTGAAGAGTCCAGAAATAGTTCCACACCTATATGATTTATTTTTACTTTATTTTTTGTGGACTGGGGTTTGAACTTGGGGCCTACACCTTGAGCCACACTCCACCAGCCCTTTTCTGTGATCAGTTTTTTTTTTGAGATTGGGTCTCACGAACTATTTGCCCTGGTTGGGTTTGAACTGTGAGCCTCCTGATTACAGGCATGAGCCACCTGTGCCTGGCTTAATTGATTTTTTTGATTATGGTTTAAAAAAAACCACACAGAATCTAAAATTTACCTCTTTACTGTTTTTAAGTGCACAGTTCAATAGTGTTAACATCACATTGCTGTCAAACAGATCTCAAGAATGTTTTCATCCTGCCGAACTAAAACTCTATACTCATTAAATAACAACTTCTTTCTTCTCTTCCCATGGTAATTACTATTATACCTTTTGTTTCTATGACTATAACTACTTTATTTATTTATTTTTTCAGTACGGGGGAACTCAGGGCCTCCTGCTTACTAGGCAAGTGTTCTACCACTTCAACCACACCTCCAGCCCTCTTTCTTTTTCATTCTTTTCTTTTTGTTTTGTATTGGTGGTACTGGCTTTGATTTTAGAGCCTCAAATTTGCTAGGCAGGCTCTATCCCTTGAGCCACACCTTAAGCCCAAATGTCATTACTTTTAGATACTTCATAGCGGAATCCATAGAATATTTGTCCTTTTGTGCCTGGCTTATTTCATTCATAATAATGTCCTCAAATCCATCTTTGTTGTACCATGTGGTGGGATTCCTTTCCTTTCTAAGGCTGCATAATAATCCATTGTATAAATTTACCAAATTTTTTAATCCATTCATCCATTGATCTTTGGCAAAGGCACCAACACAATTAAATTAGGGGAGAAAAGTGTTTTGTCATCTTCTGGTTTTCATACAGATTCTTTTAATATAAACATCAAAAGTTACTGCCACATTGTTGAAATCCCATCACAATCATTAATAAATTTATTCCATCATCATACTGTATGGATATGTCTCCAGGGCAAGGTCACTCAGGTTTGCAGGCTTCCATTCTATCTTGTTGGGTTCCAAAAGCAAAAGTGGTCTTGGCAGACATATTCATTCACCCTTTCAGTCATATGGTATAAGAGATGTAGTACATCTGGTATATGAGGCAAAATCATCTCTTGCTCTGAGCCTTATTTGAGGTGTTAATGTAATATTGTTTTTCCCTCTGTTCACAACCCATTTATTAATTCCGTAATCCTCAACTTCTTTTCCTCCACTTCATTTACACCTTCACTTTTTCCACCTTTGGAAGGGACATTAGGTTTAGCCATGAGACTGGTCCAGATTGCTGGCAGCAATACTAGTCTAGCATGTGCCTCTCCTTTAGTCCATTCCCAATCAGACAGAGAATGTTACATAGGTAGAGAAGCAGTGAGCCATCCAGACCACTTGACAACTTGATGGCATTTACCGTTAGCCCTAACTTTCCTAAATAAGGTAAAGGCATAATTCCACCCCATCAGGCCTTCATGAATTAGGATGTAAAAGTTTAAAGGTATAGTAACAGTTTCTTGCTTACGAATCATCCCTGCTTCTGGCATTTGCAGTTGTAGCCCTACTCCCATGATCACTGTATCACAAGCCAAATGGGGGGATTAAGGTGATGGGAGAAATTTTTTAAAAAGTCATTACACCAGTGTACTCCACTTGTACTTCTCTTGGCAAAAAATGTGTAATCATACCAACATTTTCCCCACCCCCTGTTCCTCAAATATACTAGAAAAATGCAGGAGTATCTATTAGCAGGTGACATTTCTGAGTACACACATGGGAAGGCATGAAAGCCAGCCTTTCAGGCCTGTAGTTCCTCCCATCTTAGACAACCAATCTTTCAACTACCCATTCCAATTTTCTATCAAACTACTACTCTTGAGAAGGTTATATCTGTTTTAGTTGGACATTATGGTCTGTACAGTGTGTTTCTTAGTCTGAAGAAATGAAATTTGGACCTCTAAATTGTTACAGTATTTCCTGTTCTGGTTCTTCTGTAACACTCTGAGTATTTTCATCTGTCACTGCATAATCAAAGCTTAGTCCAGAGTCCATGTTTATTGCTGTCAAGACCCATTTGTAGCCCCCTGCCAGCATCATTCTCACTTACTAGTTATATTCAAGGCCTTCCTATCAGAGAATGTGCCATACAGGCATTGGCAGTCCTGGTCTCCTTTGGTGGCAGAACAGCCCTTTTGGCATTATGTGCCTCAGGAGTGCAAGAGGAACATGCCATCTATGCATTGCTGCAGTATCCCTAATGTCCATTCGTGTCATGAACCCCATTGGCCACCCTAAGTGAGCACTCAGGAGTATCTGTTTGCTGATTCAATTGTCTTCTGAACTTGGAAATGAATTTATTTTTTGGCATTACCATGTCTTACTTTAATTCACCCATAACATTTCCACAGGTTGTATCCCATGCAGACATCCTTTTAATAAGCAAGGCTTCTGTTACCTTTCTGTCTGACCTTATGTCCAGACCTTTAGCTATTGCTCATAAGTAGTAAAAACCCAAACATGGGATTTTACCACTGTTTAACTCTTTAGCATGCGATCCAACCCACTGAGCTGATCTGTTTTTGCCTTTTTCAATCAGAGTGGCATTCTTCCAAGTAGAGTGTTCTTCATTCACCTTGAAACTGTCATCCAAACACCAAACAGCTTTGTCAGTTGAGAATTATTTATAGGGCACTGTCCAAGAGTCAGGAGAGTCAGTTTCAGAGTCAGTCCCAAAGAAAAGGGCTCTCTACTTGTATCTCCTTGCATTCTTCAAACAACATGATTCCACTTTTATTATGGAACTCTTCTCAGCTCTATCACTTCCATTAGACTATTTCTCTTACATCACTCAATACATTGTATTTCAGGTTTCAAGATTGTCTTATGTCCT